AAATTACTAATTTTTGCCACTTGTGTTTATCTGCATTTAGACTTTGATTTGGATAAATTAAGCTCTCAAGTGTTCCTTGCTTTATGAAACTCTGCGTGTTGTACACTTCACCACAAATAAATGACTTGTACCATTAGAGGTTTAAATAATGTAATGTATTTCATGCTCAGCCTGAAGCTGGATTCCAATGAAGTTGCTAATGCACGTAATGATTAAGTGTAACTCAAATACTAACTGTGTTGTTGAAAACATGACAGGCAATAATTTGGTCTATTATATTCTGCCATTTAATTGCCTAGTACAGACATTCTCTGACACATTATGAAGCAATGATTTACAATTATTCAAGCTGCAAAGGTCAGAAAGTGACATTATAATCATCTACATAGAGATCCCTTCTAATGCACAAAAACTAGGTAATGCCCCCCCCACACACACAGTTTCACTGCATTAGTAACTTTCTATTTAAGGTTTCTTAAACCAAATAAGAATAAACAGCTCATAAGCACATTAATACACAATAGAAAATGTCTAGAATCTTTCCATGAACCCGGAGGTGACAGATTGAGAAAATGCCCTTATTCTCTCCCGATTCGGTAAGTTCTACGCAACTACTGAACTCTACACACAAGATTCAAGACCAGACACACAGGAAGTCAATCAGAAAAATCACCCAATCCCCAGACCAGGCGTCCTGGCATCCTTGTGAAGAGCGGCAGGCAGCACCCAGCTAGCACCTCTGAGGTTTATGCAGATCACAGGCCACTTACTAGTTTGCTACTGACTCTCTTTTTTTTTTATTTTTTAAGTAAGTGGCCATGAAAAACAAAAACAGTAACCTAAACTCATCAATTTTTACCCCTCTTGTCCTAATGAAAAGACAGTATCTTCATCTGTCTAGGCACCTAATTCTATTATACCATGTTCAATTTGTAATCACCCAAGTGCAATAAATTATCAACACATAAAGAACAATGGAGAAGAGTAACAAAATCATTTAAAACAACGCTCTAATATGAGAAAAGTGGAACAGAGAAAGAGATACAAAAACAAACTGAATACCACAATGTTAAAGGAAAATACCATGCAAGCAAGTTTTTTAAAAGCAGAAAACAGAAGTGGCTAGGGGCTGGAAGGAGGTAAGTTACAGTTATTACATTCTGATGCAAACAACCTAGAGAGAAAAAAATAAGTAGAAATTAAAGTCAGTAAGCAAAATAACAGATATTGCAAAAAGCAGAGAAATTAAAAAAAAAAAAGGGGACAGTTAAAAGGAAGGAAAACAGTGGTCTACCATTACTACTGCATAATTTGAGTCCATCCCTAAAAACACTTTTAATCTCAAGTTTACCATCTGTACAATGGGGATAACAAACAGGAGATGAACAACCTCCTGACACCAGGAGACCAACAACAAAGTGCACGTTAATTAAGGTGTACACCAAGGCACAGCACTGCATCATTACTATTTATTACTGACAGTATTACATTTACTATTAAGTGTATGCATATACAAAGAGAGAGAGTTAAATTTAAAAAGATCTAACAAAACATGGTATCTGTAAGCCACTGAAATTTCAAGTTATTTTTTTAGTAGACATTAATCTAGTAAAAATGTGTGTTTAACCTATTTTTAAGCATATGTTCCCAACAAAATTATTAACTTCTGTATCGAGATGCTTTCTATTATTCTTATTCTCACCTCACTCGCCCCATGTCAGACCCACAGCACATGTTCATATGAACTGCCCATTAAGTGCTCACTATAAATACACCTATATTGTATAAAATTCCTCCTGAGATCACATTTAGGAAACTGTACTCTTCAAAAACTGCTCGTCCTAAAAGTGAAAGTAAAATCAAAGGCTTTTTAAATGAAGTTATCAATAATAGGCTCTTAAAACAGGAATTGCAAAGCAACACATTTCTGAAATTTTTACGGCAACATGAGCACATAAAGCATGGGTAAACACAAGTGAAATCCTGAATTCTGAACCCTAGCTACCTGACAGGAATTAGACATCTAACACATTCAGATGCTTTACAAACTAACTTAAATCCATGATATACCGTAGCTAGGATTTGCCGATGAAGTGGAGAAAATGAATCTTTAAGCTCAATTTTAAGATAAAAGAAAATCAGTGTGGGTCCAAACAACTGAAGTAAAAGTTTAAAAGGCAGTCTTTGTTAAGGGAGTAGCTAATGCACAAGTCAAACTAAGCCTCAGTAAAAGTATTCAAGATACATAGTTGATGAGCATCTACATCCTTCGTATATAAAGATAGGAAAAACAAGTCAATTACAAGTAATCTAAACCATTAATATTGAGCTCAATTCAACAAAACGTACTGTCATTTTCATCAATTTCACTATAAAATGATGTTTTTTTCAAGAAAAGCAAGAGGTTACTAAGACAAAATAATATAACAGTGTGAGCATTAATTTCATTTTTAAAATGTGCCTGCTCCGTTATTTCTATACATTATTACTCAATCAGAACTCTTTGAAGAACAGTTTATCTCTTGCAACTCAAGTAATGAAAAGGTTATTCATAAAATCCTAAGGGGCAGAGATGAAGGTACTGACTACTGCAGAAAGAAAAACACAGTGCAGGACCTTCTGTTTGTGACAAAATTATAGAGTTAATGTTCCTGAAAGATCACGTCACCTTTTAAAGCATGATTTTTTTAAAAGGTAAAATTTATAGCGATGAAAGCTAATGAAGAAACGCAGCATGAGCTGCTTATGCTCAGGAACTAATAGGTCCACTGAGCATTTCTAGGATTATTTAGCCATCAATGATAATGAATTGACATTGTCACTAATGTTAATGTACCAACGCTCTCTACCACCACGAACCTGATAGCCAATTCTTGCTTTCTTCTATGTTTCTCACTTTAGCTTTTAACCTACATATTGCCCTATCCCTTCAAAACACACGAAATACAGATGCCCTATGAAATTTTTTCTTTACCATTAAAGGGTTCTAACTCATTACTGTTCTGTTTCAACTCCAGAGACCAAAAGGCCTTCTTCGATCTACTGCAATCCTTCAGAACTTTTAGCATCACTGTGAAAATATCTACCCTATGCAAATTATCATTACATCACTTTTAAATCAAATTCCACTTAAAAAAATTAAGAGAACTATTATTTCAAAGTCAGGTAAAACTCAATGACTACCATAATGCTAAAAGATACAATTTTGAAATCTAGATTGCTTTCTCTCCGTGCACACACACACGCAGACCTCTAGGACAGCAGTATGAAACTCAATATATCTCTCTGTATTTATAATTCTTTATCTTGGGAACCAAATACGTAAACCACTGGTGTGACACTTCAGTGGTGTGTGGTAAGCGGTGAGCTAGGCAAAGTGTGCGCTAGGCAAAGTGTGCGCTATTTAAATTGGACAATCAGAGCCAATCGATCATGTGTTGTTTTTGACTCCACCTATGCCAGAAACTGTTCTCTGATAAAGTTTCTTCTTCCCCTTCCCCAGACTTAGTAACCCTAATTAAAAAAAAAAAAAAAAAAAAAAGGATGGATGGAATTAGATTTCTAATAATAGAGCATGCAAAAGCTGCTTAATTATTTTGAAGAAATGAGGAAGAAACTGCTGATTGCCCCCTAACAGCAAATGTCCGCTGGAGTCAGGCCCTTCCTCTTTCCTATAACTCATATGGTAAAAAACAATAAATGAGGTATCTTTTAAAATTCCAAGGCCTAGAGCAATTAAAATGAACCATTTGGCACTCGACCCTCGCAGCTAAAATCAGTAGCAACAAAACTCATTCTCCCACTGATCTTCAGGGGGCTTTAGGGCAAAGGTTCATCTTCATTTACTTTAGCTGCAAGTCACTGAACCATCAATTCTGCCAATGAATAAATCACAGACCATGGTTAATAAAACTGCTTGCAAAGTTATTTGTAAAACTATCTTAAGGGTCAAAAAATGCAACGACATCCTGGAATAAAATGTACTGTCCAACAAAAGACAGAAACTGTTTTTGACTTAAAAGATATTTTACTCGGTAGTACCAACCAGAAGAATCTTCCCCTAAAAAAGGAAACCTACCATAATGTGTGCACATTGCATAACTGAATTGAACCTGCAGTACTTAGGGAATCAGCCATAAGAACTGCAGGTTTCTCAGGTTTCACAGAAAGTGTTTTCATACGATGCACTTACGTGCTAACTTCTCTAGATTAATAGCATTAAAATATATTTTTAATCAGAGGTAGGGTATTAAAATCCAGCTTTGAATGTCCTGTGATGTACCGTAGATGTCATGGCATTTTAAAACCTTTTAAACATTTCTGCTAAATTAATTAGTTGTGCATTAAGGCATCTCAGGGCTTCCTATTAAATGCAACACATCTGAGTGACAGTTTAACACCGAGAATGGTTCTTTAGAGGAAGAGCCGTTAACTAAAAATGGAAAACAGCAAGTTTTGAAATAAAGTTACACAAAAACATACGTTATACACTGTTTATTTAAGCTTCATCTCTGTAACAATCAGTAACCAGCCATCTGAAATTAAATCTTTTTCTGCCTTTCTCCTTATGGAGTATGTCCAGTCTATCCAAAGAGCCATTAATACGATTAAAATTAAAGCAGTAGAGCAAAAGAAAAAAAAAAAAAAACCACACTTATATACTCCTAAAGCTGTATTATATATTTTTTTAAAATGTCTTTAAATGGAATTTACAGTTCTCTCTGGCAATGTGAATGAACATCCTATAATTTAGTCAATTTACAGATTACAGGTTCAAATTGACCTTGTAGCCCATAAAATTGCTCATCTTCAGTAGAGGATTAGAAGTGGGAGAAGAATGTCATAACTGTATTTAAGGAATTTACCATAACAATGGAAAGGAGGATACGCATGCATAATTTTAGCCACTCTTACTCATATCAGTTTTGAATTCTGAAACAATGGCTATCGTGCACATGCTTCCTGGTTCACCACAGTAGAGATGGTTTCAATTTACTCACCCACAGACGTGACACTTGTATTCCCTCATCCCAAGGTGCCTTTTGACATGGTTTCTGGCATCGCCAAGCTGAGCTGTTGCAAAATGGCATATCTTGCACTTGAATGGTTTTGATCCTAAGTAAATTTAACATAAAATATGATTTGAATTTGAATAATACATTACTGATAGTTTAAAAAGAGGCCTAGATCTTAAATCATACTTTTCATCTGTTTAGAAATTTCTGGCCCCAAAATGGAATACCTGCATTCCTTTCTAACTTGAATAGACCTGCATTCCATAATTATTCCGCCAAAGAAGACTTTAATGTTTCAGTGAGTGTTCCTAACTTGCAGTAACATTTCTAAGATTTAAAGTCAAAAGTGATACAGTTGAGCAGTACTAAGTAGGTAAGATGAACTAAATAATTTTAAATATTTTCTAACAATTTGCAAAAATATCTTTTAAAGTCATTCAACATGTAAAATGGAGCATTATAAAAACAAATACATACAGAGTAGCTGATATTTTATAAAGTACATTTATCATCAAATAAATTTCTCAGTGGCCAGCTCCCTTCCTCATATTTCTGCAGCTTTGAATTTACTCACATTAAGAAAGGCATTTCAGATTTTTTTTCTGACATTTATCCCAAATGATTCACTACGTTACTATTTTAATAGCACACAATGTAAGAATATACAATGGATAAGTTATTTGCTTTTATGATCATTTTATAGTCAAAAATCTGTGATGATTCTGCAAACCAGCAGTACTGACATTTTATTTATTGATTTCAAGAACAAATATTTCAACATAAAAAGCACAGTACCACAATTTTTTTTTTAAATTTCACAAAGATTAAACTATACTCAAATATGAGAAAACAAAATAACTTCAGCATCAACAAACCTAGTGTCAGGAAGAGATAGATTGTAACTGGAACACAGTTACTAGCAGATAATCAGTACCCACATTAATGAGAAGCAACATTCCTTTAAGTGCAACATGTATATTATACCATTTTTCAATTTTCTAACCACTAAATCCTCAAATCAAAATCATAAAAATCACAGTCTAAAATCACTACAATATGTTTCCAGATCTTTCGTATCATGTTTAGTACCTATTTGGTGAAATACCTCTTCTAATATAGTTAGACAGAATATGATATATGTGAACTTCAATAAATATACAAAAAAGAGCTCAAATAAAAAAAATTGCAATAAATCATATTTGATCAATGAACCTTTGTGCAGTGTCCTTGAAAAAAATAATCCTCCAAGAATACTTTGTTGAAATTGAAGCACTCAGTAAAAAATTTTAGAGTCTTAAATTTCAATTTAATTCCCAAAAGCTGACAAAAAAAGTGAAGCATTTAATTTTAATCTTCTAACAGAAATAAAAAAGTCAACAGTACTAAGCACAGGCAGACAAGGTTGAATATTTCACAGTTCAATGACAATGAAGCCAGATCTCTTAATACTTCCATTTCTACTGTTAGAAGTAGATGTAAAATACATTTAGCACCTGAATGGTTATATCTAGTCAGCTTTATATGTTTAAATGTCAAAAGCAGGTTGAGACTGCAGCTTACAGCAATCACATTCTATCAATCACATTAGAAACTACAGTTTATTTAAATGATTCTGATAAAACTAAGCCTATCACTACCTGGAAACACTTCATCTCGACACAGAATTCTATAAAGGGACATAGAAAACAAAAGAGTGAGAGAACCAATTTACCTGCACTTTAAATTGAAATGCATTAAAGGTAATAAGGCAATTAGGAAATTATTAATTAACAATAACATCAGGACTCCAAAGAAAATAAAGCCGTCAACATTTGCATTACAGTCTTGGTGAAAGCATCTCAAATCTCCTGTGGATGTAGGTTTTCGTCAGGGTCCCCCTACACTGCCACTGAGCTGAGTCCCTCGTGTGTGAGCGCAGGTGCCACGGCCTGGGTGCAGACCTTTCACGTTATTCCACGTGGCTCCTCAGTGGAAAGTTCTAGTTCCTCACTGCTAGTCTGCTAGTGTGTTGACAACACATAAATGAGTTATTCTGTTGACTGCTTTCGCGCAGAAATCAGGAGGTCCTGACTATTTTTCACATCATATATTCAGAACAGACTGTGTTAACATCTCCTTTCTGTGCCATAAAAATTCCAGGAAGTGGAGATAATACTTTCCTGCATAAGGGGGAAAAAAAAAAAAAGGTCCTCTTTTTTCTAATAATGTTTCCAGTTTTAAGCCTGCTAGGCACATCCCAAAATGAATCCAGGCATACTGTTTATAAGGCAAAATTTGTAAAGCCATGTATTTCTAAATTTATCTTCCTTGCAAGTGTACCGTGATTATTATAAACTGTCAATATTATTTTAAATAGTTTCATTCCTGGGTACAGCATTATCCACAGTAGGTTTTCTTCTTTTAATCTGGCCTCTGAGGTTTTTTGAAAGGGAAAAAACCAAAAACACTCTCTAGGCTTTCCGGCACCTTACAATTTTACCAAAAGAATTCCAAAGATTTTTAAAACTAAGTCTTCAGTCAGACCTACAACAGCCATTCCTCACCATCATTCATGGCTAATTGCTATGCATACATGGTTGTGAGGTGAACATTAAGAAAAATGACCTTCAAACTGTAGGTCTTAAAGAGTGTATAGAACCCATCACCTAATGCTTCTCCACAACAGCCTCGATGCTACAACCCTCCCTAACCGCTGACCACTTCATTCTGTCCTTCACTCATTCATTCACTAAGTAACACCTTGAGCCCACTCTGTGTGGGGCGTGGGGATGAAGAGTGAACAGAGCAGAGCCCAGGCCCTCCCTAGGCTTGGAATCAACGGACCAACTCTCCTCACCCTCTCTTCTCAAGTGGATTCAGCTTCTAAACTGTCAGATGCGTATTAAGTTAAACACTACCAGCCCTCACAGGAGACTTTTTCAGTGAAGTCACACAACTCCCTATCTCCCTGCTTGTGAACATTTCCAGAGAGCACAAGTGACCCCGTGCACTCAGAGCATCCAGTGAAGGGCTTCTGACAGTCTTCTAGTCTAATGACATCCACTAGCCATGTCTTAGGAAAGGAAAGCTCTAGCCGACAGAATATGCAGGAGAGAAAATGAACAGCTGATTCCGCACCCCTGATATAAGGGGAGAGGCAACACTGCCCTTTCTGCGCATGCTAATGACTTCACACAAGCCAAGGCACAGGAAAACTCCGTGGTGCTTTTTTCCTACAATTCTTGAAAACCAAAACTCATTTATTTCTTAGAGTGCCACTTTCATCGTGCTAAGGATGGGAAGAAAAGGTGACATAAAATATACAGTAAATCACAAAATATGAAAATAGGGATTGGAAGAGTAAGTCCTTTTCCAGTTAACCATTAATAACAGTCTCTGCATTACTACTTCATGGACATAAGCAAAGTATCAGAAAAGCAATTCATTTGAAGATGCCCAAGGAAAAAAGAAGAAAAAAAAAAACCCTGGATCAAAACTGGGAGACAACATCCCCCAAAAAGTGGCTTGAAAACTGAAATGGCAGACTAGTATTGTGTCCGGAGGAGCGGGGCTCTTTGTGGTGCTTCGGAACACAATAAAAATGTACTTGCTGATAAACCCAACAGAAGATGTTAAAAAGTATGCTAACTTTTACTAAATGTTACAATCAATGATGTAACTTATATAAGTAGGGTTACTTTGTCACATATTGATAGTTACCTCACTTTCACATCCACATTAACTTGATTTTAAATGCAATTAATACATATAGTCAAGGAAGACTAATGGACTACATTCTGCACTTAACCTAGTGGACGTTTTCAAATGGCACAAGTGACCAGTGCAAACCTATTTTGCATTGTAAACGACTAAATAAATCTTAATGGATTAAGAATGATCAGCTATCAACACACAAGGGAAATTAAGTGCTGAAATGCCTACATTGATTATTTTAAATTATTAGCCTTACTCTGTTCTTGAATTTGTATGCTTTTAGTGAGCTTTAACACATTTACAAGACTTATTGACTATAATTACAAGAGAATTCAAGTAATGGACACATCAATTATAAGCAACATGTCTTGACCAGACAGTTGCATAAAGAATTCTAAAAAGAGGTCCATTAGCATCTTCCTCTTAGTTTTATTCAGTTTTTATCTGCCTTTAGAGGGCATGTTAAAAAAGTACATACCTTCTACACATGTGAACAAGCCTGATTTCTAAAAGCCAGATCACTCCATAAAGTGAGCACAGTACTAACAGAGGTATTAATAACGCCAAGAAATCAGTGTTTGGATTTATTCCCCAACAACAGCGCCACTGCATGAAGAATTGGGACCAACAGTACAATGTTTGTATTTACCTTGATTAATCTTATGCAGGTTGCCCTCTTACTTTCTTCAATGAAAAACTTTTATCTATCTTTAATCTCCCTAAACTAGTAATGTTTCATACTCTTTTGTCTTCCTCCTTGTAACCATGCACTAAGTTTCAAAAACTGCATGAATTTAAAGTATAGCTTTAATAATAAGCCATTATTTAAAAGTACAGTAAAATAAACCTTACAGTTTTAATGAAAATATGTTCATTGAAATGTGAATTTATTATTCAAATCCACTCATAAATTCAACCATGGAGACAGAACTTGTCTAAGCAGAGCACAATGATTTAGAAAAGCTGTCTATTTAAAATAAAGAATGTATGGCAGGTTTATAGAAACAGTGCAGTGAATTTTTACATAAATTTAGAACAGTGGCTTATGCATTTTCCACAAAAAAAAAGTTTAAAAAAAATTTCCACCCCAAATTAAACATTAAAATGGAACACTACATTTGACAGAGCACAGAAACTAAATCAGGCGCTGCCTTCATGAAAATGAAACCCCCAGGACATACTAACTTTGAAAAGTGTTCACTAATTCTGATCCTTGAAAGTAGAATCTTGTTGCCTGGGAGTTACGCTTTTCAATATAAACCATCTGGCAATGAATAATTTTAAATCCCTAAAATTCTAAGAAAATTTTTATAATTTCATTCCTCAAAAGCCATTTAATATGTCCTCTGAAACCCACCGTGCCCCTTAATAGCTACCTTGGAAAACCAAACAATTAGGACTCAGAAGCAACTGAAAAGCTGTTAAGAAACAGGACTCTAACAAAGGCATCAGGGGGGCAAGGCTTTTTGATAAAATGAAAAGAAATTTGTCAAATAACCTGCCTTGGAATCACTAAGGCTTAATTAACTTTGGAAATGTTAAATGTCCACACTGACTTAGGGCAGATGTCCAGAATGCCACCCAGCAGGGTCACGTGAGCCAGGCGGAAGGACAACAACCAAAGGCAGCACGGACTCCATATCTGGATGGGAACAAACATCCCAATTTTATCCTTCGTTTGCACTGTATATGTCAACACAGGTTTGCGGAAGGGTACATACCTGTATGAGTGCGAATATGTGCTAGAAATGCCATCGAATTGCTACTTCGACACATCTTCCCACAATACTTGCAAACGTTTCCCTGATTTTCTTCTCTCTCGCGGTTGATTTGCTCAGTGTCTTCCACTATGTACTTGTTCACCTCCCGGAGCAGCTCTTCATGCTGCCCTTTAATATGTAGAAATAAATTCTGTTCTGAATCAAAGGGCTCCGTACATTTGACACATTTAAAGGTGGCCCCTCCCTCCGGAAGCTCCTCTACACTGGCCTGTTCATTTCTCATATGACCAGCACTGGCCAAATGCTGATGGAGGTTGCTCTCTGTGTAGAATGATTTTCCACACAGTAAACAATGAAAGTGTTTCTCTTTTGTAGGATGTTTCATGGCTATGTGAACATTCAGTCCACTCAAACCATCTGCTAAGAAGCCACAGTCATCGCAACGAATTCGTGTGGATTCACCGAAGGAACTACCTTCAGATTTCTTCTTTTTCACACCTTGAGCACAGTCTTTTAAGGGCAACTCACTAATCCTTACGCCTGTTGTTACCAGACCCTCTTCGGACGGGTCTAACAATTCTCCATCTTCAGGGTTCTTTATCCTTATTATGGAAGAATCAAACCGGCCAAAACTGTACATGGCCTGTCCTTTGTCATCAATACTGATTATAGTCTCATAAACATCATTACTTTCAACTGTGCTATCAGAAGGTGGACCATCCTCTTCCAAAATAATTTTCGTTTCACGTTGGGAATTCATCAGAATTTCCTTGTTCTCCAGAACAGCGTCTTCTTGGATATCTTTCAAATCCTCTGAACTCTGCACACTCCCAACTTCGTTCTGACCACCACTCTCCAGGTTTAGCTCCTGCCTTGTCCTTGTCATCACATCAGGGACAGTGCCGTCAGCCGGATGCCCTCCCCCGAGACCTCCAGGACATCCATGTTTGCTAAGGGCTTTATCTGCATTCTCCCCTGCCTGGCCAACATCGCTCTCACTGAGCATGCTCGCATCGCCACGGTCATTCAACGTACTGTGGGCTCTCTCTACTGCCTCATAATCCAAAGCTGAGCTTCCTGAATTCTGAAATCTGCCTGGGGAGCCACAATTAGAGGAAATATTAAGGGACACCATCTCCTCAGGTTTCAGAGCTTTATCCTTGGCCAAGGGCTGCTGGAAAGTTTCACAAAAGGAATGATCTTCACTGAGATTAGATTCTTCTTCAGTCTCAATCTCTACAGAGGTGGGAGCACGGAGGACCTTAGACACGTCTAGATTAGCATCCTCATCCAAAACACAACAATCAACAGTACTTTTAGATTTCAGAATTTCTTCAGATGGCTGGTCTGATAATATTTGATATTCTTCAGAATTGTGTGGGTGCTGCTCTTCAGGGATAATGATATTTTTGGACACGTCCGCAGAATTTGCTTCTACGTCAGAAGAGGTCAGGTAACACTGCCTTTTCAACTTGTGTTTTTCTGTGGCTGCATGCCTAGTCATCTCTCGACGAGTCACAGCATAGTAATCGCAGGCCATGCAATAAAAAGCAAATTCTTTTGTATGTTTCCGTTTTATGTGCAGTTCTAGAGAAGCAGAAGAGTGAGCGTTAAACTCACAGTGTACACACTTGTTATCACTCGTACCCGTAACATCTCTCTGAGAGCATGCATCCACCTGCTGGAGAGGGTCCTCTGGTTCTAGAGACATTTGTTCCTTTTTATCAGTAAGCTGACTGTTGACTTCCCCATCTGTAGAATGAAATACATTTTCAATTTCGACTTCAGTTGGATTTCCATGCTCTGCCACTGGCTTTTCTGAAGTGGAGGTATCTGATTCTGCTGACCTGTTAGCAAGTTCATCTGAACCTGCTGAGGTGGCAGTCTTTCTACAGGCTTCAAGGTTGCCCCCTTCGGGGCCAACAATGATATCTGAACTCTGCTTGCCATTTGCTTCTATTTCTACACGTCCTTTATGTTTCTTAGTGGCACAATGACGCTCCATATCTCCCTTTGTTACGGTATAATACTTACACACTTTGCATAAATAACTATACTGGTGACTGTGTTTTCGTCGAATGTGAACGGTCAGGTTGGTAATACTAGAGGCCAAGAGACCACAATGAGAGCATGTCCGCGAGACGTTACCTTTGGGTCTCCCTCTCTTTGGAGTGGCGGTCAAAGCTACTTCACCCTCTTTGGTGGTTACACCAGGCTGTGGCGCTTCCTTGGTAGTCAGTAGGCTCTTTTCAAGACAGGAATGCTCCTGTAGCTGCACACCTTCTACATGGCCTTCGATCCTTCCATTTCCAGAAATGTGAAACTCTTCTTTTTTGTCATTTGCACCTATACACACCCTTTCAATACATTCTTCAAAACTTAAGCCGATGTTGTTTTTCTTGGCATTTTCAAGATGCTTGCTTCTCTTAATGTGCTTCTCCATTCCTTCCTTGCTCAGCGAGTAAAGATTACACGCTTTACAAAGAAAGTGATAGTCCTGGCCGTGCCGGAGCTTGATGTGTCTTGTGAGAACAGTGGAAGACCGCGTTTTATAAAAACACTTCTTACACTGAAACTGAGGCTTGCTTGAATGCCTCACTTCATGCCCATGGCTTACCCTGGACTTAGCAGGTTCTTCCTGAGCTGCTTTACCTGACTCACTCATAGGATCTTTTATATTTTCTGATTCTAAAGTACTTAAGGGTAAAGTTTGTAAAGCCAAATCACTGTTAAATGACTGGGAAGTCTTTGGTTGAACCAATAAACGAATATGCTTCTCGGTTGTTGTGTGTTCTTCCATGTCTTTCTCAGACAGGAAGAACAGATTGCAAGGAGCGCAAAGAAAACCCATATTGTGCTTTTCTTTCATGTGGTCTCTAAGATTTAGTTCATTCTCAGAAATAAATGAACAGCACTGACAGGTGAGGCCAGCAGCAGTGTGCAGATGCTGGTGGTCGTGCAAATGCTTGCCTGAGTCCCCCCTCGACGTGCTGGAAAAGCCACACGCCTGACAGCAAAGCTTCACCTCTCCAATGGGGCCCCTCTCCCCGTGGCTCTCCACGTCTGCCCTATTTGTTGCCACGTGACCACAGTCTGGACCAGCACACATCTGATGATCAGTAGCTGGCCTCACGGTCGCAGAGCGAAAGGAGCACACAACATGGCAGCTTCTTTTGTCCTGCGTCAGGTCCGGGGTTTCCGAGGAAGTCACACACAGACTGTGGACACCGCCACTCATTTCTACATGATTGGCCACAGATTGTGCCTCACGTGTCTTCACCTGGGTTCTAAAGTGTTTCATATACATCCTCTGGGTGTCATTAGCTCCTCTTTTACTAATTCCTAAAAGATTAAACCTTTTCTTGGCCTGGCCTTTTAAAGTAAATGTGCCAGTTCGCCGTCGGAAGCTACTGCCCAGCGTGAGGACGTTTCGCTCGGGTCTTGGTCTCGAGCTTGCACTGACACTGGGTGCTGCCTGTAGGGTATTTTTGGTAGATTCTAATTTATCAAAGAGACCCTCGGAGCTTACCAATGCTCCTAACTTTTTACTTTTACTCTGGTTTTCAGGATTTCGAGCTATAGCAAGGGAAGTTACGTTTTCTTCAACAATCTCTACTTTTTCTGATGAGGTGTTCCTCGACGGCATCATTTCAACAAGCAGCTCACAGCTGCTTCCACCCTGCTTAGAAACGCTTCCTCGGAAATCTTTAAATTTGCTTCCAACATTTCGTAATCCTTTTGAATCACCAGTCTTTGCTACTGGTTTAGAAGCTCTTGGTTTTACGCGAACATTTTTTGTGCCCATGGTACATGGTTTCTTAGGAAAGGGCTGTTTTGTTAAGATCTGTACAAATCCTCCACGAGCAGCAAGATTCTGACGCCGGAGGTGTGTTTTGCCAAGATAATGTGCATTCAGCAGGTTTTCTTCCACACACTGAAAGCCGCAGAGATCACAAGAGAAGACCTGGGGCGGCCCATGTGCCTGCCTGATGCGTACATGCGGTGCCGTGCCGCTCTCTGCCGTGTGGCCGCAGGGACAGCACGCGTGCTCCTCCGACTGCTGCGTGTGGCACTCAGAGTGCTTCTCCAGATCCGCGCAAGAAGAAAACAAATGACCACAGACGCTGCACTTGAGAACCGTCTCTACGTTTCCCATGGTACAACTAACACCGATCTCTTTCAGGGGGAAAGGAGATTCTCCTTCCGGATCAAGGGAAACCACTTCCTGAGCAGACTTTTTTTCAGGGTCTGCTTTCAGAGAAACAGCATCAACAGTGCTAAAACTGCAAGGAGGGGAGAAGGTAGTGGGAAGACAAGTGCCTCCATCTGGGCATTCCCTCAGGAGGGTCTCCTTCGCTGTCTCACCTAACGGGATATGCACTTCTGGGACTGTGCTCTCAGAAGTTTCTAGCCCGGGAACGCCCTGCTCTTCAGACTTTAGGTGCTCTGCCTCGGCTGATAATTTCATTCGTTTGGAAGCATGTTTGTTCCCGTCTTCCACCACAGTGACACTGCCAAAGTGTGAGGATTCTGAAAAACCTCTTTTGCTGGTGCAATTCTCTGAAGAATTTGCTATCACATCAAATACGGGCCCACAATCTACATCATTAGTTGAAGAATTTCTCGAGTCTTTTGCTTCTTTGTTTCTGTTTTCATCCTCATCATTCTCTGGCTTCTTCTCAGTATCCATCGTGAACAACGTGCTGATGATGCTTCTTGCGTCAGGGCAGCTCACTTGGCACTCATAACCTGTGCAGCAAATAAACACGTTGTTAAACCTCTGAATGTAGAGAACACACACACATATTTCGTCTAAAAGTCAACATAAAGTGACACACTGAATGAAAAAAATTTCATAGCCTCAAGATTTCCTTTATCTTGAGATGTACTCTATGGCACGTGTGAAGTCCTTATGAAAAGGACGAAGTCAGATCTGGGGAATAGCATCACCATGATGCTGACTCAGGAAGCAACACTACGGCATCTCTGATGGAAGAAGTGCTCCCAACCAAGCTTGCAAAAAAACTCCCATGAGTCAATTCTCTTTACTACTACATTTCAGCTTACTATTTTTTTTTTTAAACAGAGAAGCCGTCTTTTCAAATTTCATTTCAGTGAAACCCCCATCTGTAAAACAGATTAAACAAAACTGCTGTGATGCAAGCCAGGAAGTCGGGCCTTCCCCTCTGCAGTCTCCCAACCAAAGCCTAAACCCCAGTGTGAAACTTAAAAACAACTGCTTCATCCTTTTCCCCTGCAGCAACGAGCCTTAGCACGATTTTTCTAAATATACCCTAATTAACAACATGCACATTCTCATCGCACATCACTATTCCTGCTCAAACTCTCCTGCCAATGAAAAGCCCCTCCTATTCCCACTGTCAATCACCGGTTTCCTCATCTAACAGCCATTCTGTACCATCTGAAGGTTAATGACAAACGGAAACTTCAGCAGGAGAGCAGGATTAATGAAGCAAATTTGGGGAGGAGAAAAGAATTTCACTGAATAAAATGCTTTAAAATCAATAATATTGATTTTATTTTTCATTATGCTATTTAATTCAATTAAAACATATCATTTTTCCATTTACATTACACCAGGATTGGAATTTTTAGCCAAATGCCATTGGATTTGATGTGAATACAAAACGATCAATTATGGCCTCAAAGCTAATGATAACTATTTTTAACTATTTTAACTACTTTTTTCATAACGACGACAAATCCGATAAAGGCTATTGTTCTGACTCTGACTCTGTTAACAGTGGGGAGCAAAATATATTTATGTGATACCAAAAGCATGAGCAACAAAATAAAAAGTGGATAAACTGGGCTTTATCAAAATTAAAAATTTCAAATGACAAAGTAAAAAAACAACCCACAAAGCGGGGAAAACTTTTTGCAAATCATATACCTGACACAGGACTTAATCTAGAACATATAGAGAACTCTGACAACTCAATGATAAAAAGATGAACCAATTTCTAAATGAGCAAAAGGAGCTCTGTATATATTTCTCCAAAGAAGATACACAAACAGCCAAAAAGCACATGAAAACATACTCTATCCGTAGTCATTAGAGAAATGCAAACCAAAACCATAACGCAATACCATTTCATACTCATTAGGATGGCTAGAATCAAAACGTCAGACGTAACGAGCGTTGCTGAGGATGTAGAGACATCAGAACAATCACACAAAGGCTAGTGGGGATGTAGAACAGTGATGCCACTTTGGAAAGAGTGGCAGTTCCTCAAATGACTAAGCATGGAGCTACCATACAGCCCATCAGTCCCACTCCCAGGTATACACCCAAGAGAAGTGAAAACATTTGTCCTTGAGAAAACCTGTATACAAATGTTTACAGCAGTATTAGTCATAATAGCCAGGGGGTGGAAACAACCCCAATGTTTATCAACAGATTAATGGAAAAACAAAATGAGGTACGTCCATATCCACACGATGGAATACTCGGCCGCATAAAGGAATGGTGCTGCCATATGCCACAGTATGCGTGAACCTTGGAAATGCTAAGTGAAAGAAGCCAGTTACTAAAGACCACATAGCATAGGATTGCTTTCACAGGAAATGTCCAGAATAGGAACATCTATAGCTATAGAAAGTAGGCCAGTGGTTCCTCAGGGCTGGGGGAGGGGAGCAAGTCGGGGGGGGAAGCTAAAGAACACAGGGTTTCTTTCTGAGGTGATGAACATGTTCTAAAATTTACTGTGGTGATGGTTGCACATGTCCGTGAATATACTTAAATCCATTAAATTGTAGTTCAAATGGATAATGTGTATGGTATGTGAATATCTCAATAAAGCTGCTTAAAAACATATAAATTGTCGAATATAACCTACAACACAAAAACATCTTGTATTTGTTACTGTGTTACAAGAACAGACTGTACCATTCTTGTAAAAGAGTGAAAAAGATAAATGTACATAGTTTCATTACACTTACAAGATGTTTACCATTTCTCTGGATGTGATCCAGAAAATATAAATTAAGTAAGAGGTTAATAGATGTTTGGGCAGGAAAAACAAACCCCTGGTCAAATAAGTTTAGGAAACTCTGGCTTGAACCACAGTTTCTTTACCATAGGATGTCTCAGCACACAAGCATTTCCCAAACCAATTTCATTACAGAACTCATTATTTATAAAGAATCAAAAGACCAGTTCTAACACCCTTTAGGAAATGCTCCTTTAAATAAAGGACTGGTTCTGCTATTCAACATTTGTAATTAAAGAGTAAATTGGGGGGGGGGGATGAATCGTCCATCTGTTCCAGAAACATCACGGAGTACCTACTACACGCCAAGTACTCTTGGTTGTAGATACTGGAATTACAGCAAAGAACAAACACAAAACCTCTGCCTTACAGTATAAAGGGTAGGACAATTTTTTTTAAAAGAAATAGTGCCCAGTACAGACCATCTACTTGAAGAAGAGTCACAGGAACTGGATTTACTCTCATGCATGAAACAACTAAAAAAGAAAAAAACAGACAAAATCTATGAAACAACAGCATAACACTCTGGACATCAGAAACTAAAGGACAGTGATCAGAGATGAGATGCAAACAAGAGGAGTCCCAGCTTACAGCCTGGAGAAAGGACCCAGGCCACAGCACAGCAATGAGATCCCAGACAGAGCCCACGGGTCTCCCAACAGAGTTGAGCGGCAGCTAGAATCTGTAGGGCAGAGTCCGAGACAGGAGAAGCCCGGAGACCTGCAAGGGGTCCCTCATGGGTGCCCTATCAAGATAGAGATCACTCCACTCCATCTTCCCCAAAAATTGTCTCCTACCCCTCACACTCACTCCTGGGTAACTCCCCCTCCCTGAGGCAACCATTGCGCAGTCCTCTTCTGCAATGAATTAGTCTCGCCTGTCCCGGAAGTTCATATAAATGGAATCAGACAACAGGCCTCTTGCGGGGAAGGAGGGTCTGCCCTCCTTTGCTCAATGCAATGTTTATACTGCATGTATTAACAGTGCACGCATCCCACTTCAGTGAGAGCAGAGTTCTGTCATACAGGTACACCACAATTCCGTGGATGGACACCTGAGCTGTTTCCCCTTCTTTGGCTAATATAATAAAGCCGCTATGAATATTCTCAAACAAGTCTTTTTATGAACATATATGTGCATTCCTTCTGTGTAAATACCTCAGAGTAGTAAGGCTGGATTACAGGGACAGATGTGTATGCTAATCTTGTGAGAAACTGTCTGCTTGATTTTCTTACATAGCCACCAGCAACGTCACGCATTTTGACTGATCCACACATTCTCACAAATATTTGATGCTGTCAGTCTTTTCAATTTCAGTCATTCCAGTAGGTGTGTATGGCTCTAATCTGCACTTCCCTGATGACTACTGATGGTGCCGAATAGTTTGTTATGTGCTTTATGAAATGTTTGCTAGCCTTTTGCCCACTTCTTACACAGGTTGTCTATTTTATTATTGAGCCGGGGGAGGTGCTTATGTGTTCTGAATATAAATCACGTGTCAGATATAGGTTTCACAAATATTTTCTCCCTTTTCACTTTATTAATGTCTTTCGATAAGCAAGAGTTTTAAATTTTGATAAAATCCGTTTTTTTTCCTGTTCTGGTTATCTGTATGTCTGGTTTATTCTGTCTCCCCATACTAGAAAGAGCATGGTTTATTTTATCCACCCTTACATCCAAAGAGCCTAGAACAATTCCAAGCACATATAAGGTACTAAAATAAACAAATACCTCATTGTGGTATAAGAAATGTCTCTTCCCCAAGTATTCATAGGTAAAATGAAATATGTCTGAGATAACACTTCAGAACAGTCCAGCAGAGGGGCACAGTGAAGGCTATGTGCTGAAAATGATTAATGCTGAGGGACATTTACATGGAAATCCAATATATTATCCTACCAACGTTTGTATATATCTGTATATGTACATGTTTGAAAATGTCCATAACTTATGTTTGACATTTTTTAATGTTTTTCCTAAAATGGTGTGAATTCTCTTCCTTTCCATGAGGAGTCCAACCATGTCTCCCCCTTCCAGCACTCCTATGACACACTACCACACTACCTTCCCTGTGGACACTGGCAGGGGATTCCTCTTTGGAAGTGTAGGTACAGAACAAACACTAACTTAGGGAGGACTCACACACAAACACTTATGCAGAGTGAATGTTCTAATGATGGAACACACTACTACATTTTTTCAGACAAAAGAAGGACAACTGCATTAATATGCACACACAAAATAATGAAACCCTTTATTATCTTCTATATAATGCCTCCAAAAATTTTAAAAAAGGAGAAAATATTTCTACACTTGTTATTTCCCAATTGATTTTTTAAAATAATGAAATAATTCAACATCTCATTTATCAAGAGAGAACACTGAACATTCAACAAATATATACCGAGGGCCTACTGAAGGTAACCATCGTGCTACCAACACGTTCTTTGCCCTCACCAGGCTCTTGTTCTATTAGGAGCCATGTGACATACACGCGGAGGAATTCTAACACAAGGCCACGTGTGAATGTGTGGGACAGGCTGTGTAAATGAGCAAGGACTCATACTTCCAAGCAGAATATTTGGCCAAAAGAGCAAAAATATCATCTGAGCCAAACGTTGAGGAAACTGAAACTGCTTTTTTCTTTTTTTGACAGAGCAGGTAGGAACAGTGAAATAAGTCAGGTAGAAGAAAGGGATTAGACAAGGCCACACGACACCTGCAATGCAAGCAC